TGTGAATTTGTTTCACTTCATAGTTGAGAATAATCTCATAAGAGAAGAAATCATGAACATAGTATTATATATGTAATTAATAATGTAATGATACATTTATAATTGTTTTGAATATCAAAAACTTTTGTAAATGAAAACGAAATGTTTATTTTTTTACTTTTAATTATCTCAACTTAAATTGAAGTTGAAATACATATTGTGATACTATTCTTTGTGAAAAGTTTTGTTAATAAAGAAATATTGAGTACGATTATCATGATTTGTCTATGATTCACATATATGAAATTAAAAACGGTAAAATACTGGTACTGAGATGTCTCGTTTGAATGTATTGAATGCTACGCAATAACCCCTTCTCTAAGTTAACATGCAAATGTATGCAATGCGGAGATTCATTTTTCTGTTATGAACTTTATAAAGCTTACAGCATCAAATGCAGATGTTTTTAGCCAGATGAAACCACAAAAAAAATCAAATCAGTATTTCATTTGAAAGTTAGCAATGAGTAACCTAGATCAATAAGTTAACTTTAAATACCACGTGCTTTCGCAATATGTGCTGCTGTCATAAACAATGGACATGAATTATCATATTTATGGCACTTCTATTTGCAGTCTTGTAAAATGAAAAGGCCATATTTAACAACTTTGAATGTTATTCGATGATATCTAAAGGTTAGGTAATTTATCTAGGTCACACAGTTAACGGATTAATGATGCTTAATAGGTCAGCATGTTGCAGCGGAGCCAAATGTAAAACCGTACCAAGTGGAAGAAGAAAGCTCATGTTACCATTGCTTAGGGATACCTATGATGAAATGGGTTAAACTATTTTTCACATCTATTACTTAGCTAACCGAAAAGCTTTCTTCCTGACTACGCTGATTTTACTTTAAACAACTTCTTCTGAATAACCAAAAGGCCCAGGCTGATGATATTTGGCCAGTAGCATGCTGGGATGAAGGACTACCAAGTTTGTTGAAATGAATGACCTTGATCCACTTTCAACCTGATGTCCTTGTTCGACATTCAAGGTCACAGGCGTCATATGTTTAAATCATTTAATAGGTTCTTATGAATCAAACACTGATATTCTGCCTGTAGCTGTATTTTAGTCCACTTTTAAGATTACAAGTGTTAGATTAATAGCAGGTGAATGATGCAGGCCCATTGGGCCGCTTGTTCATAGGTAACTTAGGCTAAATAAAATTAATTACTTGGCTCTCAGGCCAATTTTTTTTCAAAAGAGATGCGGCAGGGCGGAATATTTATTTTTACCTCACCTGGCACGAAGTGCCTAGTGAGCTTATGCCGTGGCGCGGCGTCCGTCGGTCGTCCTTCCGTCCGTCCGTCCGTAAACTTTTCATTTAAAACGCTACTTGTCCTGAACGGCCAAGTAGATTTAGACTAAATTTGGTCTGGAGCATCCTCAGGCAAAGGGGACTCAATTTTGTATAAATGGGGGGCTGAGGGACGGGGCCCAATAGGTGAAATATAACAAATTCTTTAAAATCCTTCTCCTTCTGTAGGAATGAAAATTTGTTCCATATTTGGTCTGAATCATTCTTGGGGGAAGTGGAACAAATTTTGTTTAAATGGTGGGTTTGGCCCCCCTGGGGGCTGAGGGGCGGGGCCCAATAAAGGAAATATAGCAAATTCTTTCAAATCCTTCCTCTTCTGTAGGAATGAAAGGACTTGTTCCATATTTAGTCTGAATCATTCTTGGGTGAAGGGGAACCAATTTTGTATAAATGGTGGGTGTGGCCTCCCTTGGGGGCTGAGGGGCGAGGCCCAATAGAGGAAATATAGCAAATTCTTTAAAATCCTTCTTCTTCTGTAGGAATGAAAGGATTTGTTCCATATTTGGTGTGAAGCATCCTTGGGTAAAGGGGAACACATTTTGTATATGCCGTTGGTCTGGCCCCCCAGGGGCCTGAGGGGAGAGGCCCAATAGGGGAAACATAGCAAATTATTCTTTTAAACCCTTCTACTTCTGTAGGAATGAAAAAAATTGGTCCATATTTGGTGTGGGTCATCCTTGGGTAAAGGGGAACCAATTTTGTATAAACAGTGGATCTGGCCCCTCTGGGGGCTGAGAGGCGGGGCCCAATAGGGGAAATATAGCAAATTCCTTTTTCTTCTGTATGAATGAAAGGATTTGTTCCATATTTTGTCTGAAGCATCCTTGGGTGAAGGCCTGGAACCAATTTTGTATAAACCCCGGGTCTGGCCCCCCGGGGCCTTAGGGGCGGGGCCCAAGAGGGGAAACATAGCAAATTATCCTTTATTCTGTAGGAATGAAAGGATGTGGTCCATATTTGTTGTGGAGTATCCTTGGGTAAAGGGGAACAAATTTTGTATAAACGGTGGGTGTGGCCCCCCTGGGACCTGAGTGGTGGGGCCCAATAGGGGAAATAGAGGTAAAACCTTGAAAACCATTCTTCTACCATAGGGATGAAGGGATTTCTTCCCAATTTGGTCTGGAGGATCTTGGGCAAAAGGGACTCAATTTTGTATAAACAGTGAGTGTGGCCCCCCTGGGGGCAAATGGGCGGGGCCCAATAGGGGAAACATGGCAAATTCTTCAAATACCTTCTTCTTCTGTACGAATGTGTGTCTTACCCCCCTGAAGGTAGAGAGGCGGGGCTCAATAGGGAAATTAGAGGTAAAACCTTTTACATCCTTCTTCTACCATAGGGATTAAGGGATTTTATCCTAATTTAGTCTGGAGCATCCTTGGGCCAAGGAGACTCAATTTTGTATAGGCAGTGGGTATGACCCACCTAAGTACATAGGGGTGGGGCTCTGTTTGAAGTTAGTTCTCGCTATATCTCTATATCTTTACTTCATACCAATTATTTTAAACATATTCAGGTGAGCGATACAGACCCTCTGGGCCTCTTGCTTTTTACCAGGGATTTCTCGGTACTGTGAATATTTTTTACCAGGGATTTATGGGTATTGTGAACATAATTTCACAAGGGATTTCTCGGTATTGTGAAAATATTTTCCAGAGATTGAATCGGTGTATTGAATTCGTGTTTTCCGGGCATATCTTGGTGAAGTGAAAACATTCCTTTTAGACAATGATCTACATTAGAAATACTGGTTTACCATGTCTTTAGTTTTGAAGATGCTATGTTCCTGTTGCTATCTTTGTTTAGAATTTATTAGTTTTGCAGATAATGTTGTGATTACCAGGGTTGATTAGTCAAGGACCGAGCAGAAATTCTGAGTTTATTACCTGTTCGAAATCAAATAGACTTGCAATCATTTCTAAGTGTTTATTTGTTGGATTATTACATGGACTATGTCCCTACTTTCTGTCTATATCTGTATCATATTCCATTTACGGTCACATTGATGTTTCTGAGACTGTTCTCCAAAAAATAATATTGTGATATTATACAAAGTTTAGTCTTATCATTAGTTTCTATAGTTATTTTTTTTATTCTGTATGTTTGGACTTGATGAAAGTTGGTTCCTCATTTATTTCAAGTCAAAATTGACACCTGAAAACAGAAAATCTATAGTTAATGTGGAGTTCTTTTTACAAGGATTTTTTTCTTTTATAATTCACGAAGATATGTGAAAAGTTTAAGATCATGTGAAACATATGATTTAATGCCTTTTTTGTTTTGTTTTGGTTTCACATTTCTTTGCCGGAAAGACACCTTAGCTTTTCTTAACAGAATACTGCATTTTAGTAATGACAGTTCTGGCTCCGGTTTTAATAAAAAAAAAAAGAAGAAGATACAATTGGATTAAGCACAGACATTGCCTATTAAAGCCCTTTCCAGACGAAAATACACTCATTTCATACTTTCATATATACATATAGGGAGAGCTAAGTATTAAAGAAAAGATGTAACATATGTTTAAATGAATAGGAAAATACTAGAACCAATTAAGACATGTTCACAGAAAACAATAATTATAATATCATAGGTTTCAACAGAGTACTATAGTCTAGTGTTTGGTAGAGACATCTCGGTTTGTTTCATACTTTTTACAACAAGACAGACCGTTTTTCTCAATGGCTGGTATCTGAGAATATGTTACAGTTTCAGAGATTGATAAGGAGGTACGGTTGTAAAAGAAAAGTAGATTTTAGTGTGTACATTTTCTTTATAAGTTTACCATGACCAAAAGGACTTGGTGAGCTTATGTTTTGGTCAGCGTCCGTCGTCTGTCCGTCCACTTTATCAACTTTTTATTTAGTCTGAAATATCTTTGCACCAAGAGGACTCCTTTTTTGTAAAAGAAGGGATTGTGTTAAAAAAAAAAGGGGGAAATCTTTCGCATCCCGCTTTTTCAATGCCGGTGTAGAGATTATAATCAAAGTTTTGAGTCATCATTGGACCAAGAGGACTGCTTGATGTTTAGCCGGAAGGTCTTTCCATCTCACAATGGACTAAAGGGAATGGGCTTGATATTAGCATTTCAGATATATTTACTTAAAAAACCCAACTGCTTTGAATAATGATATGTTTTATTTCAAATATCATCGGGCAAAGTGATCAGAAGAAACGAACACAACAATACTTCGTCTAACTCCGCCCCTGAGGTTTTGTCCCAGAGTCATATCATGGAAATGGCTGATATAACCAGCCTAAAATCCGATATGAAATTGCCTAGCATGAGGAGCGGAATGCATTCCTGCTCCTAGGATTGGCCCTGAGAGACTTATCATAGTGCCTTGGTCATAGCATGGAAATAGTCGAGAACCCAACGTACGCTTTTACCGTATTTTCAATGCATAAAGAAATGAAAACACCAATGCTACCAGAATTTGCTCTTCACATTGGGACTGGTCCCTTGGTAATAACTTGTTGCGATCCCCATCTAAGGCTATAAAACAATTGGTAGATATGAAGAGACAGGATAAGCTCTAGAGTATAGCCTAATCCATGTCTAGGCGAGTGATGCAGAAATGTAAAAAGTTAAAATAAGATTGGAGAAAAACACACTCCCAAATAAACTAAAACGCTAATATTTCACTTGAATTTTTATTTTTATTTTGCTTGATATCATTTTTTACTTAAATTTGTTTTTCTATGCGAGATGTTCTTTCAATGAGCTGAGTCTATTTTCAGAACTAGGTTCAATCCCTATACATTGTCAACTATTTCCGCAAAATCTCAGTCATGATGCTCTATCTAATGATTGGCCGGTCTGTACATCATCCATCTTGCACTCTAGTGCGCCTGCGCAGAAAATCCCACGGTGGAGAACACGGACATGGAGCTCGAGGGTGGTTACAGATGCCAGTACACGGGAGTTTCTTCCGCTTGCCTGTGGTATATAACACCACGGACTTAGATAACCTAATCTAATCTAATTCCGTGATAACACACAGAAGGTAATAACGTATGTCCGCAAATACCTACATATGTATACAGTTGCTGTGACATTAAACAACAAATATTATCTGTTGCAATTTTATTTTATCATTTGGATGAAGTTTCAATAGCTAATAACCACGGACTTAGATAACTATAATCTATATCTATTCTAATTCCGTGCTAATAACCATATAGATATGATAACGTCGATATAATTCTAATACATACCAACAGAAACTTTAAGGTTTGCCTGTTTGATTAAGGTTTACGAGTATGTGAGAGCGTGTAATGCTGTGTTTGGTGGTAGGTACAATGTAGTGTATAATCGTAGCACACTTGCCTCCTGCATTATACAATGTAACAATTTTGATGTTTACTAGAGCCTATTTAAACAACCTACTATTTGCTTGGAATATAAATAAGTTGAATGTTTCCACTGTTCACGTTCTAATTGCACAGAAGAGTTCCGCATCAAAGATTTTTTTCGATACGAATTATATCCCCTTACATACATAATATATAAAAGAAGATATTATATCTTTTTTCTCTGACTGAGTTATTTCATTTTTAGAAATTTTCATCTTTCAATTTGATATCGAGTTCGATCCCTAGAATTTCTTATTTAATACAGAAAAGGATGTTCCTCTCTCACATAATTTATGTTTATGTAAATTGGTATATGAAATGTTTTGTAAATGTTTTTTCTTCTTTCGTCAACCTGTTTGGTCAAAAACAAATTTTGAGACGCAGGTTAGATAGAAATAATTATTTCTGCATCCTTTTCTTGTTGTTGTGATATGTCATCCTGAGACGGTGACAGGTAAGAGTGCGTTACTACAGCTTTACTAGAGAATCAGGAAAATTGATATTTCTAATTATCCTCCCGAAAATGTAGATAACATGTACGGAACAATATTTCAAATTCGAATCAGATAAGTTTTTCATTTTCATTATAGATACCACTTCAGTCAGTGAAACGTCATTTATATTACAGTTTGTAATTGTCAAATAGTGATATATAAGTTACTGCTTCAATTACCTATCGGTTAGTAAGAAATTGTGATAAGGCCAGGGTTTGACTTTAAAACAAATAAAGACACACTCACATCCAATGCACGTAGGATCCATCATCAACAACATCAACACTAATATCAAGTAAACAAGCTTCATTCTCGTCTTCTCCGTGTCTATATTCGACGTGTCGGTAGAAACAGGTAAACTTTATATGGTAGCCGTATTCAGCAGCTGTTACGCCCATTTTCTTAGACGGTATCAGTTTTATGATTAATATCCTGCCCCATCTATCTATATATAAATGATCCATACACGACATTTCCTGTTTCTAGATCACAAATAATAACCATTTATGGGGATTGATAGTGGCGTCTTTAGCTGTGTATCAGGTAAATAAGGAAACGGAAAAACGTTTGTTGACCTATCAGAAGAAACAGTCGTAAGGAAACCGAATATACCATCCATCTCTCATAAGTACTTCCGTGTGTAAACGCATTCTGTGTAAAAGTATAAATATAATAGATAAGAGAGGTTCAAAACCAAGTTTGCAGTTTATGAATATTCATCTTTCCTAAAGGTTGACTAAAAAATTGATTGGTTACAGGTTGACTTAACGGTAAATAACCCCGTCATGCACCCTATATTTGACGACATAAATGGGTCGTTAACGATATTCTTACATCTTATTAACAGTTATAACAAACATATTTAACCATGCGATAGTTTTGTGGATAGGTTATTTTTCATTCGAAAATCTAAAAAAAACTTGGGAATATGATATTGGATACATAATCTGCGGAAGCTATTTGTGCAAGTTTCCCGTTTGCTACTTTCTTATTTGTCAGAGTTACTTCCCTTCGATCGTGACACATTTTTTATCCGTTTGACTTCGCGATATAAAGCACAGCTGACGAAGTAGGGGCAATCAAAGTGTAAACAATAGGACAGTTGAGCAATAGAATGACATTGGAGGATGTTTTCAGCGTATGAATAACACATTCTCATTGAGTGATGAAAGGTTTGATATTGTCAAAATGGACCCCATCTTTACCGTAAACGACCCTTGGATCCCAGAGATCCCGATAATGAGACCAAAAAGTCACCTCCGCCATTTTTACAAACTCCCGATAATGAGACCAAAAAGTCACCTCCGCCATTTTTACAAACTCCCCAGCTAAAATATTGTTTACTCTCAACACACGATTATTGTAAATGTCGATAGTGACGTCGCCTTTATGTTTCCTCGTTTTTCCCCGGGAACGAGATGACAAACGCTCACACGCTTGATGTGGAATTTTTACAACAACTCGACCAACCCTCCTGTCTCCTGTATCGAGAGATCAACAACCAACACGACCAGGACATATTACAGAAATATCTAAATTATCCGCATGAGTGGTCAGCGAAGTGGCAGATGGCCTTCAACACCAAACAGTGTAACTATATGACAGTTACACTTGCCAGGAAGCACAGACATGCCAGTACCTACACTCTAGGATGGGACCTGCTGGAACAGATCAACGAAACACCGTACCTCGGAATCACCATCAACAGTAACGTGAGATGGAATACTCACATAGGAAATGTAACATCAAAAGCCTGTCGTGTGTTAGGAATGCTAAGGAGAAACCTAACTTCGGCTTTACAGAACATTAAGGAGACGGCTTACAAGATCATCGTAAGACCGAGGTTGGAATATTGTAGCCGTGTCTGGGGCCCCAACACTCAGAACAACATCAGCAGAGTAGAATCGGTGCAGAGGCAGGCAGCATGATATCTTACCAACACACCGACAAGAAACCATCATCAGTGTTACAGGCCTTATACAGAGCCTGGGATGGGAATCACTTGAGGATCGACGGAAAAAGAGCAACCTCGTTCTACTATATAAAGTGAGGAACCATCTAATCGCCATCCTAGAATCCTACTATCCAACCCCATGTCTCACAGCTAGTCGTTACTGTCATCCCAGCACGCTGATGCCGTATCTACCATCTGTAAATACTCGTTCTTCCCAAGAGCAGTAGTACTGTGGAACAACCTCTCTCCAGATATGACTGGAGCACCTACCTTGGATGATTTCAAGGCGAGGTTATCAACCAAACAGAAGTAGACAGACACTGGTGTACATAGTTTTATTCAATGAACCTTTTTGACACTGTCATTATTTTATAGTTAAGTACATACCGCACATGTGCAATCAGCGTGATATCCAATAGGACGTTGCTGATTACTGACCAGAACCAGAACCCCACGATATTGCCCGGGCAGCCACAGTCGAAACTCTCGCAGAAAGATGACTGATGGCATAGCCCCATATCTGCAAAATACATCCATGTAGGCTTAGTTATCGATAACGGTCAAGAGTCGTCAACAAGGAAGTTCGAAGCGAGAATACACATGCCCCCGGTACCCCCAGAAATTCAACTGCATCTGTCGACAGGGCCATATTGTGCCACGAGGGTGAAGTGTTCACAAATGTCGCTATGAGAACCCGCGATGCTGTTGCACCGGGATGATTCATCCTGTTTTAGCATTAATCACAAAAACCACGCTTCAAAACAGATTAACCTTTAACATGCACGATAGATGTGATGTAACACTAACACAGTTTTGGGGTCGAACGAAAAAATGTTTTGGGAACTGGAACGTGCAAATAATCAATTTATATTTCATAGTTTTTTAGACAAATATGGCGTCTTGATTAGTCTCCACCCCACGGGGCTATCGATCGTTAATACCTCTCTGCTTATCAGCACTAACCTTGACCCATTTTAACCAATGGTCGCCGGCCTTGGCATATCTTTCACTTATACATATTTAGATTTGCTGTCACAAAATAAAAAATTAAAACTTTACAAAACGGACGGAATAATTTCCTCATCAAAAAGATTGTTTATAGAAATATATACTCTAATATTTTCGGGAGGATGAAAGATGGATAAGCTTTCCGTGTTTATCACCGAAAGCAAGACAGGGGGATGTCTTTGTGTTTCACAGCACACTCTAATCGTGGTTCGTTTAAACCAGACCACAGTGGTGAACAAGGTGTCGGAAACCTGGCTGAGCCGGTAAGCCCTCTGGTCTCTGTTCATAACGGGCCCCTGTTTGGCTTCTTTCAAGGGGAAGTACATTAACTCCAACATCACAAACGTCACCAGTGGCCAAGCTAGCCGAATGATGTTTCTTGCAAATATACATTACATTCTTACTTCATATCTGTTCCTCGTGGAGGCAACATCACCATACGTGTATATACTTTACAGAATATAGAGATACGTACATAACTAAATTTTCAACATGAATGCTCTACTAGTGAATTCCCGGTACAACATACAGATTTACCTGATTTACCTGATCCTCCATCCTCGATACTCCAGGGGTTACGCTTACCTACGCTCTCTTCACCCCTGGAATATGTCATGGCAAAATTGAAGACACGAAAAAAGATTGGTCTCAGGAAAAAATACTGACCAATCGCTAGGCTGATACCTGTCCTTTGAAGATTACAAAGGAGAGACGCCCGACTTCAAAGCCTGCCATTTTTTACCGTTACGTGACCACCAGATTCTTTTGATGTACATCAAAGGATCGAACTAGTCTTCTAGTCTCATCAACAAGGTGGCACACACTGAGTCTTCCATTTTTTCTATGACATATTCCAGGGGTGCAGAGAGTGAAAGTGAACGTAATCCCTGGATATCGCGGATGCTGATCCTCAGGCTGTTGTAAGCATTCGTTACTTCTTCACCACCTGTTTCCAATTCCCACTATTTTGTTACTGAATGCGCATGCATGGCAATTCATTACACATTAACACTTCATTGTCCTACCTCAGGCTACTTGCTTGCTTTGTACTTTTTATTATTTTACAATATATTTCATATTAATAAAGACAAAATAGTACAATAGTAAAATCAAAACAATAGATAATAACATACATGTCACTAAATATTTATATATGTTATTAGACATATGGTAAGGTATGCGTACATTGTACAATAAATATTCTCCCTAACGGTTATATTAGCATGTGAATCAATAAAGAAAGTGTCATAAATAAGTTTGTAGTAACTTATTAAACATATTGATATACAGGGTTACCTTCACACCAGCTTTTGTAAATTGTTAACATTTAATAGACATTTACCACAGACGTAATTCAAAATTCTTCCAATTCATTATTTTCTCACCTGAAGTTAACTTCGCCTCCAAGCAGATGGTACATAATTTCATCTTCAGGTAATGAATGTATTCAATTACTAAATGTCAGATCGTGTATCTCTAATATTACTCGTAAAATCACATCTTGATACAACATGTCCTATAGGATCTTGGTAGAGTACACCACACTTGTGACAAAGTTTTGTAGTTCTACTGTTGCAAATTGTTACAATTAGATTCATTATAAAATGTATCTTATCTCTGTATAAAGGGTATTTCTTAACCATAGACAGTGCGGTTGTAACTGACTATTTTTAAATTTGCTAAAATCGTAGTCATTTGAGATACGTTTCCTAAAATCATTTTCCTGTTTGGTTGAAACAGACACTTTCACAATAGTGTCCCAGTTACTCTTATCCGGAAAATTACAATTATCTATAAATTTATGCGCAATTTGTACGTACTACACTTCTGAATTATGTTTTATAAATCTGGACAGAAACACTGCTTTTTGATCAAACAATTTGTATCCGTCAACAGAACTGCTACAATCAATCGATTGAAAAGATCTTAATTGATAACGTAACCCTGCCCATTCTACATAGCCTTCCAAAAGATAGTAATTTCTTGACGTCAATTATACTTTCTATGGATGACCATCCTATTAGACTACAGCACATATCGGTACGAATTCTTCTTTTAAGTCCTTATAGAGATTTTATTACAAAATTGTGAGCCCGCTTTAATATAAGAATTTCTGTTCGTGATAAATACCAAAGTTCGCAACCATACAGGGCCGACTCATATACCGTATGTTGGCCAAGTATTCATATACTCTGACAGCTAATCACCAGGGTGGCGGCGCACCAAGTGTGCTTGTTGGTGTAACAATGAAAATAACTGGATAAAGTTACGATAAAAATATGATCAAATAACATCCATACATGCAGTATATTTTAGCTGGATGTCTTTTTCTGAACATCGTTCTTACCGGTCAATTGGTCATTTTGTAGAAGGAAGAAATACAATAATTCACTAGCTTCAGAAATCACAAACCTTATAGTCAGATTTGGCAAGAGGGATGTTTCGACATCCTTGCCTCATTTTGTTTTATTACTGTTCCCAAAAGGTAGACAACATTTCCTTTAATCCGTCTTAAGTTTGGCTCATTGACTCTATTGGTTTTTATTGTAGAGTTTACTGTTTGTG